ACACCAGTCAATACTGTAGAAAGTAAAACCCATAGCAGCAAACTCCAGAATTTCATATTACCTGGCATCTATTTTAGCTTTCTTTCACATGCTGATAATATCATTTCCCTTTATACTACTCACTTATTACATCAAACTATTATTTTCAAGAGTGAAAAAATTATCCTTTTTTTTTTTTTTTTTTACTTCAGATGCAATCCAAACCATTATGAAACAGATGTTAAAAACCCTTAGACCAGACATCATTCAGTGGTAGGATACCTGGCTACTATGCACAGGACCCTGTGTTCAATTCCCAGTACCATAAAGAATATCTAAGCACCAACTGCTTTTGTAAGTCATTTGTGTGCTTAGTCATGGAGGCAACATTTCCGTGGAGCAGAAAGACAGGAAACACGTATCTAGTATAATGTCAAGTAGGGATAAGTCCTGAGGGACAGTGGCGAGCAGAGCAGGAGATGCTACTGTACCTACTGTAGCTGGGAAAGCTTTGTGAGAGGCAACATTTGAGCAGAAAGTCATTAAACAATGGAGGCATGGTGTCTAAGCTAAGGTAACAAGCACAAATGCTCTGAGGCAAGTATAGAGTGGTTGTGATTCTTTTTATTATATTTTTTTGGTAATTTCACATATGAATGTGATGTATTTACATCATATGTACTTCCAACTCACCCCTAAAGCTAACTCTTCCTGCACCCCCCCTCTCCCTGACACTACATCTTTCTCCAAACTGTATATCTTCTTTCTCTTCTTCATCCTCTTTTTAAAAAATAGCCCACTGGATCCAATTAGCTCTACCTGAAGGGACCAGGGTGTAGAACCACCTACTGAAGCTTGGGTCACACTTCTGAAGAACACTTTTCCTTCCCTTAACTTCCATTACCTGACAAAACAGGAGTGGGGGTTATATGAACTTTTTTCATTGTGAAGAGGCTATGGTAGTCAGAGTGGGAGAAACAAGGAAGACAAAGATTGGGAATGAGTCATAAAGGTAGAGAGAAAGCTACAGTAAAGACTGTTTGAACACACGAGAAAGCACGGGACAGTTTTAACAGGAACTAAGGTGACTACATCAGTAACTACACTGCGATGGTGTAGAGGAAACATGGAGGCCGGAGAAGCTCTGACCCAGGTGTGCCAGCGCAAGTGTCACTTCCTCCCTGGTGTGCTGTGGTTTAAGTGTGAAGGTGTATCTTTATTATTTTCTTTTGTTCACTTTAGTATCTGGAGTAGATGCATGGCAGTCTTCAGTACTGGGAAATTCTAAAGGTTAAGTCTTCACATCATCCCTTCTATTTTTTCCTGGAATTGCTACTATTCAGCATTTAATCTTTTCCGTCTATTTTCCCTCTCTCTTTGTTTTTATTTTACCCTGTGTTCTGGGACAGCACCTTACATCTCACTAATTCATTTCTCACCAATGTCTGTTTTGCTTACTTACTGATATTCTTCAAAACATTACTATGACCGGTTCTTCCAAACTTAATCTTTAAACCTTTACCTTCTACTGTGTGCATGCATGTGGAAGCCAGAGAACAAGTTGTTGGTGTCACTTCTCTCCCACTCCCATGTGAGCTCTGGGGATTGAACCTCAGTCAGGAAGTTTGGTGGCAAGCATCTTTACCCACTGAGCCATCACACTGATGCTGGAGTTCAAACTCTGGGCCTTGTGTATGGCATGCAAGCACTCTTCTCTTGAGGTACTTGATTTTTATTTATAATATATTGGGTTTTGTTTTATTTCTGCTTTCCTTTGTTTTGTTATACTCAGCCAGCCTGGTCTACTGGTCTACAGAGTAAGTTCCAGGCCAGCCAGAGCTACATAATGAGACTTTGTCTTCTGAAAGGCTATGTCTTCATATATCTTCCCTAGGATCACATGCTTTTTTCCTTGTTACAGAATTATATTTGCCCACTTTGAGGAGTCTCTCTCTCTCTCTCTCTCTCTCTCTCTCGCTCTCGCTCTCGCTCTCGCTCTCGCTCTCGCTCTCGCTCTCTCTTTCTCTTTCACCTTTATAACACTCTTTGCAGGACCTTGTGATTCCCTAAACCTAGTCCAGAGACCCATTTACCAGAAACAGGTTTTACAATCACATTTGAAGATTGCTATCTCTTGGAGATATGGTAGGTCCCTTCAAGGAGCCAATGAGTGACAGTGCTGTATAAATTATAGCTTCTGAAATGCAGCCACTGGAAGTGTGTGTGTGTGTGTGTGTGTGTGTGTTGTTCCAAAGGCAAACAGGAGAAGATTGGCTTCTAGGCTGCTAGGGTCTCAAAGTCTATGGTCACAGTGACATACCTAATCCAACAAGGCCACATCATCAAATAGTGAAACTCCCTGGGCCAAACATATTCAAAGCATCACATTTCACTCCCTGGACCCCATAGATTTGTTCAAGCATGTGAGTCTTTGGGGCTCATACCTAAACATAGCATAATGCAAAATACATTCAGTCCAACTTACAAAGTCCCCATAGTCTATAGCAGTCCCAAGAATGTGAAAAGTATAAAGTACAAAGTATAAAGTCTCTTCTGGGACTCAGCCAATCCCTTAACTGTAATCCCCAAAGCAAGACAGGAAACGAGCTGAGCAACTACAAACTCTACATCTCTGTGTCTGATGTCAAAGCGGTCTTCAGATCTCCAACTCTTTTTTCATCTTTGTTGACTGCAACAAATTTCATTCTCTTGGGCTTGTTCTACTCCCTGTTAGCAGCTTTCCTCAGCAGATATCCTATGGCTCTGGCATCTTGAACATCTTGGGGTTTCCAAGGCAACTTCAACGTAACAGCTTCTTGTTCCAATGTCTGGAATCCATATGTAATCTTCCGGGATCCTCCAAAATTCTTGGGTCACATCTCCAGCTCTGTCCTTTGCAGCACTTTAAGTTCTGGTTGACTCCACTCCACTGCTGCTGCTGTTCTTAGTGATCATCCTATGGTACTAGCATCTCCAATATACTGGGGTCTTTCTCTGCAAATAGGCATTATCAATAGCATCTCATAGGCTCTCTTCATGGCGCCAAGCTTCAACTTCTTTGCATGACTCCTTCAGTCCTGGGGCATCAACTACAACTGAACTATACTTCACCAATGGCCTTTCACCAACTACATTTCAGTGCCTAGCATTTCAGTGCCAAACCTCAGCTGCTCTCCATGACCCTTTCATACCTTTAAAACCAGTACCATCTGGGTGATTCTTACACATTATCAAGTTCAGTTACAGCATGAGGTTCACCCTTGGCTCTCTCTGAAACACAACTTCTTGGTTCTCTCTGAAAACACTTCTCAGATTTCACTTCAGTGATGCTGGTCTCTTCTTAATCACCGGTAATTTATTAGCTCCAGCAAACCAGCATCAATTGTCCCAGGAATCTCTTCTATTCTTGACTCTACATTCAGAGTCCCATGGCTGAAGCTGCTCAGTTCTGCTGCTTACTATGGCTGGAACATGAACCCTTGTTCTATTACATTATCACCAGCTTTTTGTTTTCTAATTCTTTCACTTCCTAAGCTTAGCTGTTCTGGAACTTGCTCTGTAGATTGACCTTGAACTCAGATCTGCATGCCTAGCTCCTAAATACTAGGATTAAAGGTGTGGTCTACCATACCTGGACTTAAGCTTTTCTCTACTTAGAATTTGCTGTGCCCCAGGCTGGCCTTGAACTCAGAGATCTGCTTGCCTATGTCTCCTGGAATTAAAGGTGAATAACACCTTACCTGGGCCTAAGCTTTTCATGGCCACTATGCCTAAAGATCAAGATCAAAAGCCTGTGTCTTTCATTTCTGAATTGCAGTTCATTGCAAATTAAAAGTCAAAGTGAAACCAATAATCAAGTAATAATAATGCCTAACATGATATAACTATTCCTTGTCCAATGATAAACACATAAACAACAAGTTTAGCTGGGTGGGATCTTGCCACAGAGTTACCACTCCCTTAATATGTTTATCTCCTTGAACACAGAATTTAGCTACATTTCACTTCCTGGTGCCCTTTTATTACTTGAACCATACATTTTGTATTTTTCCTTTCTAAGCCTACTATGCTTCAAAATGTTCTTCATGAGAATTAACCAGAGAACAAAGTGTCTGTTGAGCTTTCTTGAGACTTTCTTTGTCAACAAAATTAATATAAATTTCATTACCTTAGCCTCAGGTAGACTCTTCAGACAGGGACAAAAAGCAGCCACACTCTTCATCAAACAAGAACAGTCTCTTGGCCACATATTAAAATTCTCCTCTGAAACCTCTAGAGTCAGGCTTCTACAGTTCAAATCATATTTGAACTCAGCAACATCTTCCATATTCCTACCAGGATGGTCCATTAAGCCCCACTTAAAGTATTCTACTGCTTTCCAAATCCAAAGTCCCAAAAATCCACATTCTTCCAAACAAAAGCATGGACAGTCCTATTACAGCAATACCCCAGTCTCTGGTACCAACTTCTGTCTTAAGCTTTTACTGCTGTGAAGAGACACCGTGACCAAGGCAACTCTTATAAAGGACAACATTTAGTTGGGGCTGGCTTACAGGTTCAGAGATTCAGTTCATTATCATCAAGATGGGAACATGGCAGTGTCCAGGCAGGCATGGTGCAGGAGCTAGAGTTCTACATCTTGTTCCAAAGGCAAACAGAAGACTAGCTTCCAGACAGCTAGTATGAGGGTATTAAAGTTCATTCCCACAGTAACACACCTAATCCAACAAAACCACACCTACTCCAACAAGGCCATGCCACCAAATAGTGCCACTCCTTGGGCCAAACATACTCAAATCACCACACTAAGTAAATAAATAAATAAATAAATAAAAAATAAAGCAATATAATTTTGTTAAAGTCTACCCTCTATTATAAAAGAAATTGTAAACTTTGAAAAGTTTAAAGCAAGAAAGATAATAAATTATATTTGAATCACTAAAAGATCAATATGGCCAATAATATACGGATTAAAATGGCCTCTGACTGCATATGCAAGACTTGCTTAAGATCAAGCCAGTCAAAACATCAACATGAATATGCAAGGGCCTCACAAAACCCCACCCTAAGATGAGGAGCTATTGGCAGTTGGTGGCTTCTAGGGAAGGAAAGTTCAGTTATCTTCAGAGATGCAGCCCTGGAAGGTTGCCCTTGCTTCAGTGAAGATTCATACACATACTGGCAACATCAAGTGGACATAGTAGTTAAGAGAAACGGAGAACATGAAGTTGGGAGGAAGACCTGGTATTGATGGCTGGGGGAATCGAGGAAGTGAGCTGAACTACAGTGGTAGCCGTAAAGATGAAAAGAAGTAGATGGATTTGAAAAATATTTGGGGGCTGGAGAGATGGCTCAGTGGTTAAGAGCACTGATTGCTCTTCCAGAGGTCCTGAGTTCAATTCCCAGCAACCACATGGTGGCTCACAAACATCTGTAATGGGATCTGATGCCCTCTTCTGGTGTTTCTGATCATAGCAACTGTGTACTCACATTCATAAAATAAATCTTTAAAAAAAAATATTTGGGAGGTAGAAGTCGAAAGGACTTGATGAAATATTGACCATACAAAAAAGGAAAGAGAGTAACTCAATCCTGGAGTACAGTCAGGTTTCTGGTTTACATCATGAGACAAAAGCTGTCATTCACTAGGCAAATATGCAGTGAGCCAAAAAATATAGGGTTGGATTTTGAACAACATGTATTTGAAGTACTTTTTACTAACGGGATACAGCTAGACCCATCTGCCTCAGAGGTCTGATTGGAGATGGGTATCTGAAAGTTACCTATTGATTGAAACAGGAGCATGAGGAGATTACCTAAGAAGATAGAATAGAAAGAAATTGGCCCATGGAAAAGTTTTGAGGAGCTCCCACTCCAATGATAGAGTACATCTTAAACTTGCAAAGGAGAAAAATCGCTAATGAGTATGAAATACATAAATTAAGATTCCTCTTTAACTAGTTTTAGTTCACAGCAAACATACCTACAACTGTAAGTCCTCTTTTAGTTACTTATGGTTATGCATACTTACGTAAAGTACTCATCAGAAGGGTACTGTTGTCAAGAAGCCTATTACAAGTAGCGTTAGCATCTGAAGTCCTGTACTGTGGCCCAGCAGACATGCTAGGGTGCTCCAAGCTATATTTCCTTGGACCCGGAGGAGAGGATTGGTCATCATCTTCAGAATCACTAGAACTATCCTCACTACTTGAAGATGAAGAACTTTTGGAATCTGATGAACTATCACAACTACTCATCTGGTCCATAAGGCTAGCCTCTGCCTTCAGTTCTGAAAATAGAAATAATAGGTCAAATAAATAACACGAAGAAACACAATAATATATAAGTGCATTAGCTTTTAAGAAGAAATTGTTAAGGAATAAATAAAACTAAAACACATATTCCAGCATCTAAACCATTTATTTTAAAAATTCCTACAGTGTACTGTCTAAGAAACTCTCTAAACATACAGCCTGTTACTGTTGCCCTTGGTTACCTCTAGAGGTGGAAGGTGGGTCCCTATCACTAAAGATACCATGTACTTCAATAACAGCGTCCAGAGACCACTTTGCTGGAACTGACCCGCATGCTCTTTCCTCAAGGACTACCTTTCATGGTACCAGAAGGTGACATGGAAGCTTCAATGGAGAAAGGCAACCAACAGTCTCACCCAGCTATCATGCCCATGAACTCCATCCGTTGGCATAATAACACTAACAGAGTAGTAGTGGTACACATACCTTGGTTGTAACCAGCAGCTCTCTAATTGGACTTATGACCCACACAGCTAGAGAAAGACTATATTTGGTACCAGAAACTTGTTAAATTCTCAGCGCTAGTGAAGTCATGGTTATTGCAGGAGAATCTACAACTACTAATTTACCAGCATAATCCTTAATAATAACAATCTATAAACATTTGTCCTTATATCCACAGATAAGCATAGTCTTCACCGCTCATCTGGGAAACTTCTTTTTGCAACAGACAGAGATCAAAACAGAAAACCATAACCAATCAAAATTCCGAGTTGTGGAGCCTAGTCCTAACAGATACACCTACAAAATACATCTGCATCTAAGGCTCAGGAAACATTAGGGAGGGAACGGAGGGACTATAAGACTCTCAGATCTTACAATCTTACAAATAGATCAGGGAGTTTGCTGTGAGATTGTGTCTCCTGGTAACATCAGAAACTATACCCATAGAGTCTATTGCCCAAGTGTTACCTCAAGAAGGATGACACAAGCGAGCATGCCAAACTGGATAGAGAAAAACCTATGAAGCCTCATCGCTACACGAAGAACTATAGCCAACTGAGGAAAGCTGGGAACAAGAGAAATCGCCTTCCCAGGGAAGAACACACCAATTGGCTGTCCAGTGCCAAATGGTCAGCCCTGAAAACATGCAGAAGCACACAGACAAACAGACAGACAGATAAATACACATGGTAATATATGAACTAAACAGGTTATATTTAGTAATATATGTGTATTTATATATACATATATACATGCAATAGCAATTAGTGAAAAAAAAAGAGGCCATGAATTTAAAGGAGAGTGGAAAAGGGTATGTAGGAGTGTTTACAGGTAAGAAAGGAATGTGAGACATGTTTTAATTAAACTATAATCACAAAAAAAAATTTAAAAATATTTTTAAAAACCCTCCTTTATCACAAAGCTGAATTTTAATAGTAGAATTATGAGAATAAAAGCATAGGTAACCAGGTGGGAATGGCATCATAATTTGTGATCCTAGCATTCAGGAGGCTGAGGCTGGAGAATACCAAGTTCAAAGAGCTGTACAGTCAGACTTTTCCTCAAAAAGAGGGAGAAGCTCAGCTGTTAAGAACACTAGCTGTTCTTCCAGAGGACTAGAGTGTGATTCCCAGCACTCACATGGTGGTTCACAACCATCTGTAACTCCAGTCCCAGGGGATCTGATGCCCTCTTCTGGCATCCATAGGTACTGCATGTATGTGGTTCACAGTTATATACGTGGGCAATATACCCATTGGCATAATAAATAAAGTCTCAAAAAGAAAAGGGACACAAGCAGTATCTATATCTAACATCATATATGTAAAATATATAATAAATAATGAAAAGTCTAAATGTGTAAAAATACAAAATGCATTATTAGTTTTCTCCTTATTCCTTAATATGCATGATGCAATGTCATTTGTACCTAAGAACTTCATTCTTTTCTCAGATGTTCTAGAGGAAGCTTTGAAGAAGCTTCCTTACACAGGTTTCCAGCCTATTTCTTTAATGGCGATTTAAAATATTCCAGTATTTTAAAAAAGCCAATTTCCATTATAACTTTGGTTGTGCATAGTTTTATGGACAAAAAGGATAATAATGTTGGTGTCTTCTAGTGTTCTTAAAGTTCTTTTAGAACAGAACAGAATTTATGATGGGTGGGAAGATCAATCTCATCCTTCAAATAAGTGATTTGAAGCACAGAAACCAAAGGACCAATATTTAGGGGTAGAACTAAGTTTGCTTATTTTCAGGTCATTATTTTTTTAGCATTCTATAAAAATGTCAAATAGTGAACAAATTTTAGCCTAAAAGTGTATAAAATACTTAGTCAACACATTGTCAAATAGTATCTTGCCAGGGTAGTACCATTTTAAGCTAGCTAATAATACCTGACTCCCACATTCTCTCTAGACCCACTGGCTTGCCATTTCCACCCGAAATCCTTTGCACTAGCGCTTTACTTTGCTCAGGGTAGACATCACCCAGGTCTTTTTGGTTTTGTTGCTGTTGTTGTGCGCTTTGCAATTAATAATGAATTAACCATAATTCATTATGGTAAAACGCATACCCAGATGAGTTTCAGCATAAATTGCCCTGTGTATCTGCCACTGAGCAAGATCTATCCCATAAACACTCTATTGTGCTTTTCCTCCAGTCAATGTCCACCATTTTGACTTCTATTACCAAAGATTTTTGTCTGTTATTGAACTTCTTATAAATGTTGTCACTCACTCATGACATTTTGTGCATGCCTTTTATCCACATCTTGCTTATATATTCATTTGTGTTTTTAATGGCTCTTCACCTCGTTCTGCTCAGTTGTTATAATATCCATTATATAAATACAACATACATTGGTTATCAATTTTCTATTTATAGATACTCCGGTTGTCCTCCATTTTTAGTAGTAACAAGTTTGTGACAACAAATAAAGTTGTTCTGTAAAGCCCCCTGTAAAACTTGTGACATGTGTATTCATTTTCTTGTGTAGAAAAGAATACTTTCAAAGTGACCTATAATTCTAGTTTTTTAAAAGCAATAATCCAAAGCAATTCTTATATATTGGCCACTTGACTATTTTCTTTTGTTAAGCATCTGCTCAAATACTTGGTTGTTTTTTTCCTCACTGATTTATACACATCCTTTATACTAGCTTTAGCTGTGAGTCCTTTGTCATATATATGCATTATGAATATTTCCTCCAAATCTGTGTAACTAGCTACAGTGCTTTTGGTGTATCACTAAGTCTCTGAAAGGTTGGCTGCTTCCCATATTGGTTTAAGTGTATCCCTCTCCAAGAATTTATTTCTTTCAAGCCTCCATTACCTGTTTTGTTTTCTTTGAGACATTTACTTCTGAAAGTCATCCGAATATACATTTGCCCTTTTACTTCTTGCCACTGTCTCTTCCTCCTCCTCCTCCTCCTCTTTTTCCTCCTCCTTCACCTCCTTCCTCATTGGCATGGCCAAATATAAACAATGTGAGAAGAGAAATTCTGTCTTAGTCACATTGTACAGTTCTTTTTGTATAATGTTGAATTTTAAAATATTTCTTTGATTTTTTTTTTTAGTTTTAAGCTTAGGAAAGATACTGGTTTAAAGTTTTATTTTTCTTACACATATTAATTCAGTTTGTGTATTCTGGTAATTTTAGCCTAAAAGAATGAGCTTGAGTTTATCAATGTTCTATGTTGGTCACCTGTCCATTACTATAAAAAATATTTGATAAATAAATAATAAGATTTATTTTGCTCTCGGTGTCAGAGGTCTCAGTTCACAATCAGGCAGACCTATTGCATTTATACATCTGATGGAGATGTCAGATGGAAATGACGAGAAGCACATAAGTGAATCAAACATGGGCAAGAACTCAAGACAGGAAGAGGAAGACGCTAGAAAGACAATACCCCTTTCTAGGGCACACAACACCAGGACACAGCTCTTGGTAAAATTACTTCCCTCTTTGATACATTTGCACATGTATTTAGTACATTTTGGTCATATTCTTCCTTCCAACCATTCTTCTACTCTTCGTACTCGCAGCACGGTCCAGCTTTCCTGTCATGCAGTCCCCACCCCACTCTCACATCTTTTGGATTTTGTTTCTGCTTTGTGAACTGCTAGGACTTAACTAGGGCCACTCTCATGGGCATGGAGCTCTCCACTAGAAGATGAGCAGCTCATCATGACAGTCACTGAAGACAGTCACCTCCTCTCCTCCAGTAGCCTACTAAGTCCTCATATGTGACTGAACGGTTACTGTCTGTCTTGCGCATGCCCTTGATATGTGACTGCAGCTGTTGTGAGTCCATGAGCGCCAGAGACAGCATCTCACTACCCTACAGCATGCCCTCTTTCCTATTGTTTGGCTCTTACATTCTTTCCCTTCTTCCTTGATGTTCCCTGACATAGTTGTAATATTTTTCTATAATTTTTTAACGGCTACTGGATCCATAATAGATTACACTACTGATTGTAGAAACGTTCATTAAATTCTCAATATTAACGATTCATGTCTTTTCATCTTTGTTTTTATTTAAAGTTTTATTTATTTAATGTATATCTACATGTACAACTGCAGACCATAAGGGAGCACCAGATTACATTGTGAGATGGTTGTGAGCCAGCTGGGAATTGAGCTCAGGACCTCTGGAAGGGCAGCCAGTGCTCTTAGCTGCTGAGGCATCTCTCCAGCCCTCATTTTTGTTTTTCAGTAGAGGTTTATCAATTGTGGATATGTATTGATAAACTCTTTGTTTCATTCACATTCTCTACTGCTTTCAATTTCACTTATTTTTACTATTTCTTTCTTTTTGCTTTTTTTGGTTTATTGCTTTCTTTTCTTTCGATTTATTACTTGTTTTTGGTTTTCTTTTGTTTTTTTGTTTGTTTTGGGGGGTTTATTGTTTTCTTTTCCTAGGCATTGGATCTTCAGTATGACACCTTTCTCCTCTAATTCAAGCATTTAGAGCCACAGATTCCCGCCCCCTTGCCACTGCTTTGAATGCATGTTCACTTTCTGTATT